GTAATATAATATAATATACAGTATCTGTAATTTATGGCAGTTGTTTGGCCCTTAATCCTTATAATTGCTGCCGCAGCGAGCGAGCCTGAAGCGAGCGAGCAAGGCAGCAGATCCTAATTTTGTTTTGTGGGTCGAAATCAAAATTTTCTATTTGGCGCATTGCATGACGGTACCAGTGAATTTTAACCGTGGTGCAGCGCGGTCAGGCATAAGGCAAACAGGCAATGTGATCATGTTTCATCTTTGGTCTTCTTTTATGGAAAGCCATACGGCATTTTGTTGGGTGCTTTTAGCATTATACGGCGGTGCTTTTGGCATTATACACGGTGCTTTCGCCATTATACGCGGTGGTTCCAGTATTATACGCGGTGCTTTCACCATTTAAATACGCGATGCTTTTGCAATTATACGCAGTGGTTCGAGCACTATATGCGGTGCTTTTAATATTATACGCGATGCTAGCTTTCATTCATTATTTCCATATTCTTTCCATGACATGTATATGATTTAACGATTGCTTAAATTTGGTATGTGCATGGTTGACAAATGCTTTTTGCCTATGGTCTGCAAGGACAATGACATGCTTTTCTGTGTATATACATGTAAATGAATATAACGCAGCGAATGCGCCAAACAGTATAAACGCGGCTGAAATATGATATTAAAATCTTAAATGTGCCGTATGATTTAATTATGTTTTAGGATTTACAAATGCTTTGTCATTTGTATTTATACTTGTGCTGCATCACAAGGCAGTACGTACTGTGAAAAAAAAGTGAAAAAACTCCACATGTGAGATTGTCTTGTATATATTTTTGCTTTCTTTGATAAACACTATTAAACACGCAAATTTTAATTAGTGAGACGCAATGTTAAATGTCACCTGCATGTCATTGTCATTGCCCTTTAACCCCTGGTCTAATTGGTCGCTTTTGAAAATATTGATCATGACGAACCGCACTGCCTTAATTAAATCATAGATTAAATGCAAACTTTGTGTTTTAAAAACGGGTTAGGATAAAACGCGGATACGGACGGACGGATGAATGACGGACGGATGACATATATATGTCATTATATAGTCTGCGCGCAGCCGCGCAGGGTAGTTAGTGCCTTACGTCTTCGCTGGTTGTTATACTTTAAAATAATTTTGTATGTACCGAGAAATCAATATTCCGAGTATATAAATATATAAACTGGGATGTCACACTGATTGCTTGTTTACATTTCCTGGAGCATCATGAAATCTTATGTTTAACCACGGTGGTTTAACCCATTAGCTGGCAATGCGCCCTTCCCTTGTCGAGCGCCAGAAGATTTTACCCGTCAGTGGTATAGGGTACTGCCAGTAAATGGGTTAACAAACCTATCTGCCAATGGCTCTTGTTAATTCATCAGCACAGTAATGACCCCTACTTTAGTATTTAGGCTATTTAGCCTGTCCAACGCCAGACGATTTTTAATACTCAGTCAGTGGTAGGGTACTGTCAATAAATGGGTTAACAAGGATAACAATAATTAGCCTGCATGGCAGGCGGTATTTCCCAGGATGTTTAATAGGATGTTTCTGAAGGACTCGTTCGACACCCTAGGGTGACCCTGTAGTTTGTCTTTTGCTGTCAAAGGCAGCATTACTGCCCTGTGGGTAACCTAGTTATATTCATAATTGGCAAACTTGCCACAAATTGGCAAACAACTGTCAAGTATTTAGTTTGTCTGCAATGTTATATGAATTCAATTAAGTTTAATTATTACAGTAAACAGATGATCCTTAACGGCAAAAAGATCGTTCGTTTCTTTAAATAATTGCTGGCGAAGTAGACTTTTACAGTATCCTAATTAGTACCGTGTATCTGTAGTGTAGGAGTCGATTCTTACTAAAGATGGCATGTATGGATCAGGAAAGGAAGCATATTTTAAATTTCAAATCGTGCTGTTCAACATCTAGTACAACTTAATAAGGGCATATAAAATATCATGGCTTTACGATTATGAAATATTAAAACGTAATAAAGTCAACTAATATAGTGCGTTATAGCGTTGTATACTTTTCTAATGACGTCATCTTTTTCTCGCAGTTTCCCTTCCTAAAAGTTGGGGGAAATTAACTTCTGGGACATACTTGTGGCAAGTCTATGCATTATACTAAATCATAACAGAAACCCTGATAAACATCTGAAATATATATTGTATATTCTAGGAATAAACCTTTAAGAATAATTGCTGCCCAATTTGGTGTCACTGATAGCAGTATTATATTATAATTATATAACCAATATAAATTTTCTATATTTTTCTGTTAATGACTAAAGTCATTTTACTGTACATTGATTCGGAAATTCGGGTCTTGAAAGAGGGTAAAAGTAAAGATAAACGTTACAAGAGTATAGGTAACTACGTGTATATAACTATTTGAGTTTTCTGATGTATAAATGCTTCTACCAATCATGCAGCACAAAACGTGATGAACCTGTAAGGCTGTACCAAGATTGCTCTGCAGGTGGCAATATCATATTTGGCATGATATTTCATTACATGTTCTTTTGATCACAATGAGACTTTTAGTGAAATAAAGGATAATAATCAGTACCACCATACACTGTACTATATATTTGTAGTAATTATTTTTCCCATAACTAAGATCATCATTACCAAAAATTACATTTCAACTGAAAGCTAACCAAGGTGAAATATCAAACAGGAACTTCAGACTAAATTGTCAGTCTATCTTAAAACTAATTTATGCTGAATAGGACTTACTATCAGTTCTGTCTCAACTGCTCTCCTTAAAGCTTAGTAACAATTAAACTTAAAGGCCACCCTTATTCAAGTCACTCAAGTGTGTATAAACACATGTCCAGAGGAAAGTGGTGATGTTTGGTAGGGGCAAACTGGAAGCACTGTTGTCACATATGACTGAGGTTAGTCTTACTAAACATAGTTATAGTTTATTCCTGCTTCCCACTCTCAAAATAAACCCTGGAAAAAACACAAACCCACATGCACATCCCAACACAATACACACAAGTCACAACAGCTAACAAATAATTTACATTACCACACTGATGACTGATGTGGAACAGGAACTACAACAAGAACTACATCTTAAAACACCACACACATTTGAATTTCCAATTCTGGCATTGGAAGATACAAATCAGATGTAAACATACCATTTGCCATCTTGAATGATAAATCATATAAATCTTGTAATGTACAGTATGAATCAAATCCAATATTAACATGTGTAATTCCTGTTGTTCATCAGTGAGCATGCAGTTCCAAATATTTGTATCACGGTTTCTTAACATAGTTTCTTAACCCCCCTGCCCCATCACAGAATACATGTAAGTCTGTGATTGCAAAATCTATTTGCATGTCGATCCCCCCTCAGCCCCATTCTTTTTGTCCAACATTGCCGGCCCAAAAATGTTGGACAATGTTGGGTGCTCAGTCATGATGCATGATTGTCAAATGCCAATGATCATGTGCAATTCATCAAATGTTGCAAAACATTGGATGAAAATTTTAAACAAAGTCAAACCTGCATCTCCCAACATCAGCAACATTACCCAACACACAGTGGCGGCGCCAGGGGGGGGGGGGCAAATGCCCCCCCCCCCAATTTATTTTTTGCCCCCCCTCAAAAAAAATTATTAGTCACTAAGAGCGACTAAAGGCTACACAAGCGCTTTGTAGTTATCGGAAAATGTATGGCTTATAAGTTGTCATTACTCTTTAGTGAATGCACGTATACATGAAACTGTTTTTTACAGTTTCAATATTAGTTTGTAAATCTCTGAATGGTAAAACTTGCCAATACTCCAATAATACGTTTCAAAAAAAGACAAAAAAGCTTTAGTTTTGAAGAGTTAAAATTTCAAACGTGTAAGGCAATAATAAGATGAAAGTATCACGAAATTATTTTAATAAACCACATCGCATATATGGGGGGCGAATGTCCTAAAGAGGGGCGATATTCCTAGGGTATTCGCCCCACCCCCCTGGGAGGCGATATTCCTAGGATATTCGCCCCGGGGGCGATATTCCTAGGAATATCGCCATGTTTTGAGGAGGGAGGGGGCGAATTTCCTGGGGGGGACCTTTTTAAAAATTCTATCTTGCCCCCCCCAAAATTTGAGTTTGCCCCTCAAATGCCCCCCAAATTTGGAAGCCTGGCGCCGCCACTGACAGTCGCAGGCATACCGCAGGCATATGTGAACCAGGCTATAGAGATTTAAGTTACCTCATCATACGTCTTGCTCCAAGCAGAATATGCTTCTTTTATTTCTTCTTGGGTTGTGTCTTCTTTTTTCATAAGCCTAGCAAGGTTAGTATGAGCATCAAAGCTTTCTGTAGCCATGATGAGCGGCGCAGTCTTTGGTTTGTCTGATTTGATTTGTAAACTGAACGAGATCTGTAATGTGAAACCTCAGTCGGTGTTCTTATTACTCTGAATATGCAAATTTTGCAATGTGCTTATCTTGCAGTGACCTTCGAAATCCAAATTGCCTTGCATGCTCCCAGATCCCCTATAGGCTACAATGCTTATACTGCATGTATATATTTGAAGAAGATGTAATATAATTTTGGAAACTGGTAGACCTATAGTAGGAATATAACAATATTAATTAGAACTTTAGAATTTTATAACTAGGTCAGTCAAGGTGGCAACTTGTACCAAGCGGTACCAGGTAACGACTAACCAGCACTTTGACAACTTGTACCAAGGGGTACCAGCACATTGGGTGTGTGTGAATTGTGATTTTATTAAATTAAACTTCAATCTTGGACTTTTGTGAATTGTTGGATGAAACAACGGAGGCAATCCCCAACAATAATATAGAGAATTTAATTTCAACCTTCAACAAAAATTCAATTAATAGTCTCACAATATTTGATATACAAAGAACCATGCACCATCGTCTTTAATGTAATCCGCTTCGTAATTCTTTGCAACGAATTTCCACTTTCCAACTTGGCAAAATTGATCCATTTTTTCACGAAATCCGCATTGTGGAGCATTCAGTGAAAGATCTCCTTGCTAAAACACACCAATCCCCCGGTTTGACCACGTGCACAAGATCATTGAATCCTTCGCTTTCCACGTGTGTAAGTGTTAAGACACCCACTTTGCCGGCGTCGTACTGCTTCGCGCCAATGCCCAGATCCTTGCACTCTGGAGACCCCATCGAACCTTGTTGTAGTAATCCATATATACCTTTTGCTTTGGCAACCTCCAGCAACTCGGGGGTTAGGTCTACTCCATCGATATTTTTGTAACCACGTTTCACTAGTTCTTCTCCGACCAATCCTGTGCCACAGCCAAGATTTAGAATACGGTCAATACGAGCATCGTTGGTGTATCCAAATTCTTTCAGTTTTTGTGTCAATTGTTCCACTGCTAGAGCTGGCCCGCTGTATGCTTGGTTTCGAATATCCTAAAAACATGGTATACTCGAACATGTATTAAGACCGATTTACGCTACACAACTTTTGCCGCTAAAACTATCGTATGCAACCTGCTTACAACTTGAGTTGTACTGTGTAAATCAAGCACACAACTCGTCTATGAGACAACGTTGGCAAGTTGTGTGCTTGATTTACATTGTACAACTCAAGTTGTAAGCAGGTTGCATGGCGATACTAGTTTTAGGCAAAAATTGTGTAGTCTAAATCGGCCTTTAAACGGCACAAGGCCTGATTCCACGACGGCGAAATTCTTCGCGAGAAATTGTGTCTGCGAAATGTGGGTTGTTGCACATGAATGATTCTTCGAATTTTCCCACTTTTTGTTTTCGTAAACCAAATGTATCTTTACTGCGCATGAAATAACTCATTTTCAAGAAAAAGCGCTCGTGGAATCAGGCTTTTAGCCTTCAGAATCCTTTAAGTTTCGCTTCACCATACTCACTGCGAAAGCGAAAAAAGTAGGAAAATTAAATAGAATGATTCATTTGCAACCACCATATTTTGCAGTAACAATTTCTCGCGAAGAATTTCGACGTTGTGGGATCAGGCCACTGTCCCGCTTGACGATGAGTCCATAAGTCCAGTCCATATTTTGTCCTGTGTGCCGAAAATTACCGGGCCCCTTACTATACACTCGCAAAATTCAAGTTATTATAGAATGAAAGAGGCCACATAAAAAAAATAAGGCCACATAAAAAAAATTACTTGTTTAGCGTCCACCCATTTTAATTTTTCTAGGTCGGGCGGACGGATTTTTTTTTTTTTTTTTTCGTAAAATGCAACACAAAATTCTGCTAAATGCAGGAAATCCAGTATATTACCACAGTCAAAACTCACTTTAATTCTTTCAAAATCCGTTCATGTTTTTTAACTTCCCGTTCATGTTTTTAATCAAACAGAAAATTACCGTTTGGCGGTCACGCGCGAACACTTTAGCTGCGAACAGGCATATTCTGGGAAGGAAACTTTGTGTAAACGTATTACATAGCTCCCAGAAGAATAAAATCACCATTTTTTCAAGTAAAACGGTCTTTTTTATAGAGAGTTTTTCCACTAAACTCGGACAAATTTAAAAAAAAAATTAAAAAAAATTGGAGGTCGGGGACTTTTATCAGGTCGGGCGGGGACGCTAAACAAGTAATTTTTTTTATGTGGCCTTAATTAAATCCTTCATGTGGATGGACGGACCCGCACTTTAATTTACCGTGTCACTCAATAAGGTTATTAATGAAAGCTGACATTTATATACTTCCACATACATCTTGCCTTTGACCTTTGTAGTGTTTTAAAACATAAATCATATCACGGTCATATGCATTTATACATCCACTGGTAAAACTATATGCAACGTTCAAAATAATGTGACATGTAAAGATTTGTACGACCGCGTTTGTGTATCATTTCAGTTGGTTATTAAAAACAAGAGTTGTTGCTGAAATTGGTAGCATACTGTATAAACTTAGCCAGCGCGCAGTCTCATGATATCGACATCGTTTTGAAGTCATAAGACTGCGCGCATGCAGGCTAGCATAAACTGCGTAAATTAATTTTTAGCGGGAAATATGCGCGCCAGTTGTTGACACGCTATGCTCATGAATATTGTGCCTTTCTTAATATTAGTCGTTTCGCAAGGAAGCCATGCTATAAAAATGCAACACTTCTAATTTGAAATATATTTACATACATAACATAACTTATATACAAAATAATTAACTCTACATATCTAATATTATCCTGTCTTTTGATCACCAAGTGTTCTAACTGTCATTTAGCTACTGATTTAGACCGGTCAATGCGTGACAACTTAATTTTTTATAACCTCCCCGAAATTGAACATGAAAACACGACCGAAATGATACATCAGCTACTAGAAGACAAATACAAGCATATTAGATCACCTATCACTTTTAAAAGACAAATTAAAAAACACTTCTTACAGATTTAAAACTACACAAGAAGTTGTTTTTTACTGCCAATTGTTTTTACTGTCATGTAGACACGATGCTATATAAAATTATAAAATTTTATAGCAAATATAAAAAATTAGAATTAAACTTGTACATATTTTTAGTATAATTAGTATAATACCTTAATTTTGTTTCAAGTTTTGAACTGCCAAAAACTTTATATATTAATTTAATTAAATAAACTAGGGGCCTTCATAAAAAGCCTGTTCGGGTTTCTAGTAGGCTCCTAGCCCTATAATAGAAGTAAATAAAAAAAAAACAATGTAAATACTTAATTCTGTGGGCGAATTAAAAAAAATAATAATAATAAATAATGAGACTGCGCGCTGGCTAAGTTTATACAGTATGCTACCAATTTCAGCAACAACTCTTGTTTTTAATAACCCACTGAAATGATACACAAACGCGGTCGTACAAATCTTTACATGTCACATTATTTTGAACGTTGCATATAGTTTTACCAGTGAATGTATAAATGCATATGACCGTGATATGATTTATGTTTTAAAACACTACAAAGGTCAAAGGCAAGATGTATGTGGAAGTATATAAATGTCAGCTTTCATTAATAACCTTATTGAGTGACACGGTAAATTAAAGTGCGGGTCCGTCCATCCACATGAAGGATTTAATTAAGAGTGAATACAAACGCGAAACATTCGCGCCGGTTATAGTCGTTACGCGCATAATACTATATAGCACATTAAAATATTAATTTAACATGCTTAATAGCTTTACACAAAATGACTGAAATTTAATGAATATATTTTCGTGAAGTTGAACTATATTCAAAATATTTCATTATTGTTATGTTACTGATAATGTTTGATTAAATGCGTGACACTTCAAGTGCCACATTACCGGCTCGTTGTTATCGCAGTTCTGCTTCAGGGCAGGTATTTTGAATTTCGACTCTCTGGTTTAGGAATATCAAAGTATTATAACAATATTTCCTCAACAAATATGAGCAATAGACAAAGACAATAACTTGTTATGTAAGATGGTGTGATCATATATATATACAGTAATAAATCTTTCATATGCAAGACAAACTGACAAAGGTCGGATAACAAACCAGATTGAACGCAAGAGCATGTATAGTCTAGTAGTAGAATTGCAATTTTAACTTAATCGTAAATCGCAATATATTTCAGCATATTTTCTTTTGCGTCAAAGTAATTTCTGTTTTAATTCTCTGAAACAAAGCAGTACGCTTAGTTAAGTTCAGTATACGATATGGTTTGAAAGAAAAGCAGCGAATTCCTTTACTTGCCACTGGCAAAACTGGCACTCTGGCAAAACTGGCGCCTGGCAAAACTGGCGCTCTGGCAAAACTGGCAAACTGGCGCTCTGGCAAAACTGACTAGCACTTTAGTAAACTGGCGCTCTGGCGAAACTGGCGCTCTGGCAAAACTTGCGCTCTGGCAAAACTGGCGCTCTGGCAAAACTGACACTCTGGCAAAACTGGCACTCTGGCGCTCTGTCGAAACTGGCACTCTGGCGAAACTGGCACTCTGGCAAAACTGGCGCTCTGGCAAAACTGGCAAACTGGCGCTCTGGCAAAACTGGCGCTCTGGCAAAACTGGCAAAACTGGCGCTCTGGCAAAACTGACTAGCACTTTAGTAAACTGGCGCTCTGGCGAAACTGGCGCTCTGGCAAAACTTGCGCTCTGGCAAAACTGACACTCTGGCAAAACTGGCACTCTGGCAAACTGGCGCTCTGTCGAAACTGGCACTCTGGCGAAACTGGCACTCTGGCAAAACTGGCGCTCTGGCAAAACTGGCAAACTGGCGCTCTGTCGAAACTGGCACTCTGGCGAAACTGGCACTCTGGCAAAACTGGCGCTCTGGCAAAACTGGCAAACTGGCGCTCTGGCAAAACTGCCGGCGCTCTGGCAAACTGGCGCTATGGCAAACTGGCGCTCTGGCGAAACTGGCACTCTGGCGAAACTGCCACTCTGGCAAAACTGGCGCTCTGGCAAAACTGGCGCTCTGGCAAAACTGGCGCTCTGGCAAAACTGGCAAACTGGCGCTCTGGCAAAACTGCCGGCGCTCTGGCAAAACTGCCGGCGCTCTGGCAAAACTGGCGCTCTGGCAAACTGG